TGCCTCCATCCACTCAGCAATCATGATCAAGGCCAAGCTGGATGGGAGGGAGGCCTTGGCAGCGAAGGAGAGGGAGAACTCCTCTGCTGCCTTGGAGGCAGCCACTACGCTCAAAGGCGAGCTGCTGAAGGCTCGGAGCGAGGTGGATATACTGAGGGCCGAGGTTGAAGCCAAGGCCGAGCTGCTGAAGAGGGAGGATGAGAGGCATAAGACCCACCTCCGAACTGCCCACGCCATCACCAAAGGGTTGGAGAAGGAAAAGTTCCAGCTCCTTAAGGAGAAGGACGACATGCTCCAGGCCCTTGAAGGGAAGGACGCTGCAATTGGGCGTCTCAATGCTGAGCTGAAGGAGGAGAAGGAGCGCCTCACCAACGGAGCCCTCCTTGATGCAGCCTTCAAGCAACACCCAGATTTTGATGGGTTTGCCAAAGATTTCAGCAACGCAGGCTTCAAATTTCTGATGAAGGGGATTGCTGTTGATATGCCACACCTCCAGGTCGACCTCGGCGATCTGAAGAAGAGGTACGCTGAGAAATGGGCTTCTGGGCCTAACGGCACCCCAGGTCCTGCATCCCTGGTGGACAAATATGTCAGAGATCTGGACTCTGACTACTCCGACCTGGATGAAGACGAGGTCCCAAGTCAGGAGCCTACTGAGGTCGGCACCACCCAAGAGGGAGTTCCTTCTCAGCAGAACGGATCTCAGGAGGTCAACCTTCTAGGCTCTCAAGACGAGCTATCTTCTCATCTCGGGAGCGGCTGAGTCTCCTCATTAGCTTTGTTGTTGTTGTTTTTTCTTCTTTTGTAAGCCTTTGGTCTGGGCTATAAGGTATACAAGCCTTGGCTCTACCCTTTTGATTAATGAAATTTCCAATTCTCCATTTCCATTTGTTCTTCTGCTACTTTTCCTTTAGGCTTTTAAACTTGCTTTTGTAAGTTTGAACTTATGAATGAATAAATTCATCTCGCACCTCTAACTTAAAGGATCGCACCTCTAACTTAACTTTGGGTTGAGCTACAAGATAACTCTTTTCACATCGTACCTCTTACCTAAGGTTTGAATTTGAGAGTTTCTTTTATTAATCTTTAATATTTCTCCTCGAACTCGGAAGTCCGAAAGAACATTAAGCAATTGGAACTTTCTACATCGCACCTTTAACTTGTACGTTCAAAGGGTTGAATTTTGAGTCCATAGTTATTATTCACATCGCACCTCGAACCCATAGGTTTAGAGGACCGAATTTCTTGATCCTTCAACATCGCACCTTTAACTTTATCGTTACAAGGATTGAATTTTGGCTCGTTATTGATTTTGACATCGCACCTCGAACCCGTGGGTTTTGAGGTTGCCGATTTTAAGTCTTATGGGAGTCCGTGGCCCCCATTTAATTTCTAATCGAACTTGGAGTTATGAAATTAAATAACCCCATTTATTGAAAGTTCCGCCCCTTGAAAATTTTTACGAGCCCATTTTGGGACTATTTTGACATTTCAGGGGTAATAGCGCTTCAAGTGCTCCGCGTTCCATAGATGCGCAAGCACTCTTCCTTCCAGGTCAGCCAACATATAAGTTCCAGGTCGGACTATGCCTTTGACTTCGAACGGTCCCTCCCAACTTGGGTCAAGGGTGCCGACATGACTCTGAATTTTTCATAAGACTAAATGTCCAACTTGGAAGCTTCGAGGTCGAACTCGGGCATTGTAATGTCTGGCCATTCTGTTCTGATACTCTTCTAAGCGCAGCTGAGCCATTTCCCTTTTCCCTTCCAATAAGTCCAGGTTAAGGAGTAGCTCGTCCTCGTTCCTTGTTGGCTCGTACTGCTCTACCCTGTCTGTTGGTATGCCAATCTCGACTGGTACAACAGCTTCGGAGCCAAAGGCTAGCGAGAACGGGGTTTCGCCAGTTGACTCTCTTGGGGTGGTTCGATATGATCACAAAACTTCAGGTAGCTCCTCGGCCCATCTTCCCTTTCTGGAGTCCAACTTTAGCTTGAGTCCTCGCTTTATGATCTTATTTACTGCTTCGACCTGCTCATTTGCTTTTGGATGCGCAGGGGATGAACTAAGGTGGCTTATACCCAGTTTTCTGCAAAAGTCCTTGAACTTTGCATTGTCAAACTGTTTTCCGTTGTCCGTCACAATAGCATTGGGTATGCCAAAGCGGCATACAATGTTTGCCCATATGAAAGATGTGACCCTAGACTCTGTTATGTGAGATAGTGCCTCAACTTTGGCCCACTTGGTGAAGTAGTCCACAGCGACAACGGCGAACTTTGTTTGTCCTTTGCCCAGGGGAAAAGAACCTATGATGTCTACTCCCCATTGCGCAAATGGTCATGGGGTCGAGATGGGGGTGAGCAGTTCGGGAGGTTAATGGATAATGTTTGCGAAACGCTGGCAGTTGTCACAAGCTTTCACAAACTGCTTTGCATCCTGTTCGACACTGGGCCAATAGTACCCTTGTCGAACCACCTTGGCCGACAACGACCTGGCGCCATAGTGGTTTCCACACACCCCTTCATGAACTTTCCTAAGAATGTAAAGGCCTTCTTCGGGAGTCACACACTTGAGCAGAGGCAGGGAGAAGCCACGTCGGTACAACATTCCTTCTCGAAGTGTGAACCGAGCTGCTCTTCGCGCCATCTTCTTTTGCTCCTTCGGATCTTGCGGTGGGTTTCCTTTGATGAACTCCACGATTGGGTCCATCCAAGTGGGTGATGGAGTATCAACCTCCATTACATCTGGCTCCAAGATTGAAGGAGTGTCCAAGATCTCGACCGGGACCGATCTAGCCAGGTCGGTCTCATACGCTGATGCCAATTTGGCTAAGKCATCCGCATTAGAGTTTCCAGATCTTGGAACTTGACTCACCTCGTAAGTCCCAAACTGAGCGAGGTACGATCTGACCTTGCTTAGATATTTTTCCATTCGGGGGTCCTTCGTTTGGTACTACTCCTTGATCTGATTTACAACTAGCTGGGAGTCACTAAAGACCTTAATGTGATTGGCCCCCAGTCCTTTGGCAACGTGCAGGCTTGCTAGAAGTGCTTCATACTCGGCCTCATTATTAAACGTCCGAAAGTTGAATCGCAGAGCTTATTCGAATCGCTCACCTCCTGGTGCGAGCAAGAGGATTCTTGCCCCGCACCCCTTCTCGTTGGAAGATCTATCAACGTAGATCGTCCACGGGAGGTCGGACTTGGCCAACTGAGGTGGTGGAGTGAGCTTGATTATGCTTGTTTACATGCGTAAAAAGAAGGTTTTAGATGTTGTTTTTACAATGTCTTAACTTTGTTTCGGACTTTTTCTCGGTCGTTTGAGTTCCAATTCATGCAAAATTCATATATGATGGTTTGTGGTTGGCTTATATTGTATTTATGACATCTTAGGACCATTTGGGAGTGCAAATTAATCAAAAGAAGCAAAAAGTCGGAAACATCCTCATGGGAGGCGCCAGGCGCCTGGGAAGGCTGCAGAAAACTGTTTTCCTTCCAACTTTGCCCTTAATGAAACGCGTCTTCCAATGCATTTTGGTGGTTCCAACCGATGCATACGTGTAGAAGAAGTGTTCCACTATCAGTTTGAGCACGATTTAGTCAGTCAAAGGAGTTGGAAATGGGTGATCCACCAGCGTTTTAGGACCTACCTAACCAATTCTGCACAGCTATAAATCGAGCAGCTTCTCCACCAAATTCATCAAGCCTTGCTTCCTTCTCTTGATCATTTTTAGTGTTTCTTTGTTGCTTTCTAAGTACTTTTGAGTTGCTTTCATTAGTTGCTTTTGGTTTTTAAATGCCGAGCACTTTACATTCCTTTATTGAGCTTTGTTTATTTATGTTTGTACTTAGTTATTTTCTACTTATTCAAATATATAAAAATCCAGCACTTTGCTTATCTTCCCTTTGCCTTTACTTTATTTTTAGTTAAGAGAATTGTGTTTTTGGAGGAAAGAGCACGTGACACTCCCCCTTGCTTGAAAGAGAAGGGCGAAGCTCTCAATCCCGAGCAAAACTCTCCGTTAGTTAACTTTTGTTTTTCACACATGCATTTCAATTTCAACCATTTTACTTGCTGTATTTTCTTCAATATGTCTTTCTAAATTCCCGTCTCTAGACCGGTTATGGATAGTTAGCCTTTTATTTCTAAAAAGGGTTGCTAAGAAGTAGTGTTTTTGCTTTCCACTCATTGCTCAACATGTTTTTCCAAAAAGTTAGGATTTAGAGAAGGCCACTGTAAGTCTTAACAAGTCAATACTGAAAAGGTTGCTTATTTGCATTGTTGAGTGGTTAAACCGAGGAGAGGGGCGCCTTAGACATGAGGGTTCCGGTTAAGTAGCCTAGACATAGGACCTTAACCCGAGGTTGCGACTATTTCCATCCTAAAACTAAGATATCTCTCATAATAGACATATTAGGGAATGTCTTAGGACTTTGAACTTGCTTAGACATAAGTCAAGTGAAAAGCGTAGTCGTTGGTTCCTAAAGTAAAATGCATATCATCCTTAGCGTATCCTTGATTCTTGTTGGCTAACTTGAAGTAATTCGAGCTAGGTTTTACCATTATAAGACCAAATCCCAAATCCAAAACCATTATTTGTGATCACTTCCCATTTTACAAGAATCACTCATTTCAACGTTCACTATTCTTTAAAACTTTAGAGTTTGGAAATTATTTAGAAGTCCTTGAGGATCGATACTTGGATACTCCATCCATTTTATATTACTCTGACAGGTGTGCGCTTGCATCTATAGAATTGTTACCACGCTTAGTGCGTGCGTTCAGCATAACCCCAGTCAAGTTTTTGGCGTCGTTGCCGGGGACTTTAGTTTTAAAATTATTTTCAAATTCTTTTAGTTTTTATTTTTGTGAATCGTTGTTGGGTGTAATTTCCATCCACCGTTTTTGTTCTATATTTTTGGTCGTTTATCTCACAAGGGTAAGTTAAAGTGCATGAGCACAAGATCTTTTCTTCTACCCCTTGACCCTGAGATTGAGCGGACCCTTCGAAAAACTCGAAAGGAGCAAAGACTTCGAAAACMACTAGAAAAGCAAAAAGAGAGAAAAGATGAAATCAGTCCTGAAAGTGAGGTAGAGAGTACGAGCACATCAATGGTAGATATTCCACCTCGCGATCCGGTTGATCCACCTGCTGTTAACGGTAATATGTGGGATCATGCAAGAAATGATGAATTCAACCATATCCAGCTGGCGGACAACAGAGACGTGGCAATGCGAGAATATGTCGCCACGACTTTTCAGAACTTTGATTCAGGGATAGTCAACCCTATTGCAGCCCATGCAAACTTTGAGCTTAAACCAATGATGTTCCAAATGTTGCAGACAATTGGACATTTTGGAGGGCAGGAACATGAGGATCCACATGATCATYTGAAATCATTCATTCAAATTGCAAATGCATTTCGATTACCTGGTATAACAGACGATGCTCTTAGACTAACACTTTTTCCATTTTCTTTGAAGGACCAAGCTAGAGCATGGCTCAATGCATTTCCACCGGGATCCATCACCACATGGGGGTCGTTAGTGGAGAAGTTCTTAACAAAATTCTTCTCACCTACTCGCCACGCTGATATCAGAGAGGAGATCATCTCCTTTAGACAGTATGATCGTGAACCTGTTCACGAGGCGTGGGAAAGATTTAAAGAACTAATCAGGAAATGTCCGAACCATGGCTTGCCGACATGCATCCAGATAGAACATTTCTTTAGAGGTTTAGATCATCCTACTAAGATGATGCTAAACAATGCTGCCAATGGAGCCTTTACAAAGAAGACATTCAATGAGATAGTCGACATCCTAAATGACTTAGCTTCGCACAACGAACTATGGTGTTCGCAAAGATCTAGGGCAGCACCAAAGAAGCAAGATCCAGCTGGAGTTTTGGCTCTGGACATTGCGACCTCGATGCAAAAAGAGATGGTTACAATGAACCAGAGGCTGAAAGAGATGGCATTGGG